CTATCTCTCCTCTCTTCTCTCTCTCTCTCTCTCTTCTCTCTCTCTCTCTCCTCTCTCTCTCTCTCTATATATATATATCTATATTTATATCTATTTATATCTATATCTATATAATCTATATCTATATATATATATATATATATATATTATATCTATATTTATATATATATATATCTATATATCTATATCTATATATATATATCTATATTTATATCTATATTTATATCTATATTTATATCTATATCTATATATATATATATATATATATCTATCTATCTATCTATATTTATATCTATATTTATCTATATATATATATATATATATATATGCGCATGTTACGCCAGTACATGTTCCCTAATGCGGAAAATTGTTCATTCCGCGCGACGCATGCTCGATGGCAGATAGCTGTCAAGCAGCTGCCCGTGATGGTTTTCCAAGATCCAGATCCAATGACCAAAAGCGTCATATTCTGTGGCATTTTGAAAGTGAGCTATTTAGAAATGAGGAATTAGAGCCTGGTGCGTTTATTAAGGAAATTATAGGACCAGGAACCAAGTTGTTGTTGAAAAGCTTATGGGCAACAGAAACCAACGTTTGGTGTTTCCAAAGGAACCAGTGATAACCAGAAACCAGCATCCGGTATTCGCAAAAAGTGGGATTCTAGTCCCAGGCACTGGTGTTGATGAAAGAACCAATCGAAGCCAGGATCCAGGGTCTCGTTTTCACGACGGGGAGTAGGGAAACAAGTACATGTCTGGTCACTACAAACAGAACCATCCGTCGACTGAAGGAGCTTTCATTCTGTCAACTTGACCGATGATGGCACGTTTGCTCCTGACGTAAGGCAGGGAGCAAGCGCTCGCTGCAATGTCGTCTATGTGCCCTTTGAGGACACCTTTTGGTAGCTAAGGCTGCTTGGATCACGCGCCGCACTGCGCGTCGGGCTTGAGGGGAGACGTGCAGCGAACATACTGCGTGATTAGTAGCACGGGCCCGCACTGTGAAACAGGCCCGCACCTTAAGTTCCACTACACTCCGTTGGGGTTTGCGATCCACCTGTGTTGAAAGTTTGCCGAGGAGTTCTAGGTCATGACTTTCACCCCAGGCACTGATGCAAAAGGGCCAGATTCGATCGAATGAACTTGTCATAACAAAGATCGGAGCCCAAATACGCCTGTTTGTAGCTTGGGTTGTTTAAATCATCCGCCGCACTGCACCGAGCAAACGTGGCTTTCATCCCAAACGGCCCATTGCATCGGATCTCACTGTTCATCATTGTTTGAAGTTCGCTATGTGTGCAGGTCGTATGGTGCCTAATATTGTTACTATGTGTGCAGGTCGTATGGTGCCTAATATTGTTACTATGTGTGCAGGTCGTATGGTGCCTAATATTGTTACTATGTGTGCAGGTCGTATGGTGCCTAATATTGTTACTATGCTCACAGACGTGCTGTTTGCTGCAGCACCACAGCCGTGGTGATCTGAAGAGCATGCCGCCAATAATCTCTGCCCTACAAGCGGTAGAGAGGACGCGAGGATCATCTGGTCTTTGCAAAGGCACGCGTCGTAATTTGGTGTCAGGATATCGGCCGTCGTCTCTGGCCATTGATCGAGCCGCACGCAACCGTGGATGACTCCATCCTCCTCAGGACGATGGCCCTCTCCTCCCCTGGCTGACGACCCCCTCCTCCTCCGGACCATGGCCCTCTCCTCTCTTGGCAGACAACCCCATTCCCTTCCGGACGATGGCCCTTTCCTCCCCCGACCGACAATCCCATCCTCTTACGGACGATGGCCCTCTCCTCCTCCGACCGACGATCCCATCCTCCACTGGACGATGGCCCTCTCCTCCTCCGACCGACAATCCCATCCTCCTACAGATGATGGCCCTCTCCTCCTCCGACCGACGATCCCATCCTCCTACGGACCATGGCCCTCTCCTCCCGTGACCGACGACCCCATCCTCCTACGGATGATGGCCCTCTCCTCCTCCGGATGATGGCCCTCTCCTCCCGTGACCGACGACCCCATCCTCCTACGGATGATGGCCCTCTCCTCCTCCGACCGACGATCCCATCCTCCTACGGATGATGGCCCTCTCCTCCCGTGACCGACGACCCCATCCTCCTCCGACCCCGAAAGAACGTCATTCTGACCTGGTCACAGGTGGTGGTTGGAGCCCAACCATCCCCGTCCCGCCGCTGCACACCTACGTAGGGGTGGCGTTGTCAGCAATACCGGAGAGCGTCCCCCCTGAAAGTCGGGGCTGGGGGAAGTGTGGCTGCCGCACTGCGACGCGCGGCAGCAGCTCCTGGGAGGGAGCTCGGGACGATTCCACGATACCGGAGAGCAACCCCCCTGGAGATCGGGGCTGGGGGAAGTGAGACTGCTGCACTGCGACGCGCAGCAGCAGCTCCTGGGCGGAAACTCGGGACGAGCCCACAATACTGGAGAGCAACCCCTCTGGAGATCGGGGCTGGGCGATGTGTGGTTGCTGCACTGCGACGCGCGGCAGCAGCTCCTGGGATGGAACTAGGGACGAGTCCACTACAAAGACAGCGGAGCTGTGGCGCACATTATAGCTATATTCCAAAATGTTTCAAGGACTGCTCTCCGGACACGTTAACCGTCTGATCCAGCAGGCAGCAGCGCAAAGTAGATATGAGGCAGGCAATGCATTGTTGCCGCTCAATCGAGTGGCGTTAAGCGGCGCGGTCCTGACGATCCGAACCCGACCATCGATTTGCAACGCGTGGCTGAACACCACGGCACCACACTGGCAATTTGACTTCATCACATGATTTGCTGGTGTACTACGTTTTCTGTGGACCTTGGCATCGTGTCATTACTGCTCCCGTTCCACTTCAAACGACAGTGCCGGTCTGTGACGGGCCTCACAGGCGTGCGATGAACCTGAAGGTACTAATCCGTACGCAAGCCCGGACTGGCATTCACTCCTATCGACGTCCACCCCACATTAACTCAACGGCAGCTGTTGCCTTTCCTGCGGGCACAGATGTAGCAGAGTCGATGCACCGCGGACAATGGAGTTGCTTTTCAGCATATCACTGTCAATGGTACAACAGCGACGACGTTGTTCCAATAGCACTGCGCGCGTTACTGAATGAGCCGGTCCGCCCCACGCGTCTGCGGTTACGTGACCCGGCCAGCCACCGTCCTGACCCGGGAAACGTCCTCCCAAACACCGGGCGGCTTCCGAACCTATATTAAGACGTAATCAGACACAAATATGCTGCACCGTGTTCCGAATTTGCGACGCGACCCGTCGGCTGCACCCTGCCAAACGGTGTCGGCCGCCGTCAGCCCACCCGCACATGCTCAGGAGTCATAAAAGCGGCGTCCGCAGCGGCTGAGTGCCAAGCGCCGAGAGTGCCGCATCCACCCATCCAGAGTCCAGTCACCACACGCAAAGCACGTAACACACGACCACACACGCACTAACGCAAACCAAGTACACCGAATTTGGGCGGCCGCGCGCGCGCGACCGCAGCCGCCGCTCCCCGGCCGACGGGCGCCTATGAGAACAGCAAGACACCGGACGCTGATAACACAACACCTACACTTCAAAATGACAGTATGTACAGGCAATGCTGTAGTGGCTGGCTCGGCACCCGCGGCCGCAGACGCCATCGTTACAAAAAGCCGCTGCCGGCGTTCCTGGGCCGCGGCGGGGCCGTCCGCACCCCACTAAAAACTCTCGACACCCCGGCGCGCCTGAGTGCAGGCGGCCGGCTCGGATGCCGGGCAGCGCGGTGCGCGTGCGCTCTACGCGGCGGCCCGCGTGGTAAACAAAGCAACAGCGGCCGGCCCTCCGCAGCGACCGGCGCCCACTAGTCTAGCAAACGCAAACCGCACGCTCTGCCTGGAATAGTGTCTGTGTGTGGGGGGGGGGGGGTCGCGACCACGGGTCAGGTCGGGTCGGGTCGGGTCGGGCCGCGCCGGGCGGCGGCCGGCACCATTGTACTCATGCCGGGGCCGACGGCGTGCGGGGCGGCCGGGGCGCCGGCCGCCGGCGGCGTGCGGTGCCGCCTGTCCTTTGTACACGATGCGGGCGGTGCGCGGCGGCGGCGCGGCCGCTACTTGGCCGCCTTGCGCGCGCTGGTGCGGCTCTTGTCGGCGGTGGCGGCGCGGCGGCCGACTGGCGCCGACCGGGCGGCTGGCGCGCTCCGCTTGGTCGGCGGCGGCCGCTTCTCCACTGCGGCACACACCGGTCGAAGTCAGATGCTACGGCGGCCACGGTCGGACATGCCGAGAACGGTGGACGTCCATGGCTTTGTCATTATTTATTGTCGCTTTAGGACGTCCATGGAGGCATCAACAACTCAGTACTGTGATGCTCATTGCCAAAGACATTGGTATACCACTAACACAGCCTACATTCGTAGCAGTTGGATGATGCGATGTCATTCAATACTGTTTGCTACACATACTAAAACTTCATTCACATGAGTGATGGACCAGGTCCGACATAATACATTTTAAATCACAGAATGAGGTACAAATGTAAAAGACAGACGCATCAACTTTCCCATCCAACACTTAAGCCTACAAATGTCAAAAGCATTGGCCCTCTGAGCACGTTTTGAGCTTAACTTCAGTTTGCGTCACACACACTGGTTAATTTCAAACATCAAGGCGCCCGCGTAGATAGGCGAATACTAACTGTTCCTGGCGAGCTAGGTGTAACAAAACGTTTCCATTTCTTCCCAGAACGAGTAGAAGCTCCAGACACTCGAAAGCGGTTCCGAGACAAACAAACTCCCAACTTCCAAAACTTTTGCGCCTTGCCTTTGAACGTAACGCTATGAACTGAAGCAATACAATAATGGAAGTGCCACTGGACGGACATGAGCGTGTCATCCCCCAAAAGATACCAGAACCCTATTAACATGGACCCCCACGGGATGCTAAATCTCTCCTTGGGATTGAGGCACATGTCTGCCACCAGGTGCTTTCATGGGGTTCTCCCTCACAGTCCCTCAGAGCAGACGATCACCGACACATTCCCGGGACCCACCTTTCTTCTCCTTGACCGGCGGCTTGACCTCGGTCAGCTTCTTGGCTGCCGCCGGCGGCGGCGGCGGCGCGGTTCGCGCCTTCTTGGCGGCCGGAGCGGCCGGGGCGGCCGGCGCCGGCGGCGGGGCCGCGCGCCGCTTGGCCGCGGCCGCCACCGCCGCCGGCGGCTTCTTGGCTTTTCTGCCCTTCTTCGGCTTGGCCGCCCTCGGCACCTTGGGCTTGGGCGGCGCGCGGAGCTTAGCCGGCGCCGGCGCGTCCGCCTTCCTCTTGTCCAGCTGAGATTCGTCCTTGTAGAGCGACAGGTCCACTGGGGGCGGCGCAGGCCAGCGTCCGGTTACGTCCAGGCCGGCTGCCGGCGTCAGCTCAACACGGCCACCTCAACAGATCCAGCACACAGCGCAACCACACATCCGTGATGGATGCGCCATGTTCTCGACACACGGCCCCTGGGAGAGGACAGTCCGTCATTCACATTCACTGCTCGAGAACAGCGCAGAGTCACGGCCCTGGCGCGCAACTCACGTCCGTCCGGATGGTCCTCGGTGAGCGGGGCCGGCCCGTCGGCAGCGGCGCCGCTCTGCTCGACGCTCAGCGCGCGCTGCAGGATGTGCTCGGTGCGCGCCACCTCCTCAGCGCTCAGCTCATGTCGGTCGCGACCCAGCCGCTTCATCTCCAGCGTGGTCAGGATGCTCTCGAAGTCTGGCGGTGGCGCGGCGCCAGCGCGTCACGCACAAACACGACAGACGCAGCGGCCGTGCCGCACCGACCCCCTGGCACCTGAACTGGCTCAGGGACAGACCATTCACGATGTAAGGCCGCCATTCAACGGCGATAACACGTATAAATAGCCTACAAATAACTGAGAGCCACATACAATGATTGTGTGAGTGATGACTAGCAGTAGGAATACATACCAATGGTGTCATAAAAGTCTGGTGTGTACACTCTTCCATTGGCAGTCATCCAGCGGACCTTAATCTTCTTGCTGCCCTTGTAGACGTTCTGCACCGCTTGACACACAAAGAAACTGCCCTCCTCGTTCCGCACTGCCAAGAACTCGTTTCTGCGACGGACCAAACGCTTAATTACCAGCGCCATGGCACCCTGACAGTCACATGTTGCGGCGCTGCGCGATCGCTTGGAGTGGGGATCACTCATGATTACAAGAGTCCTAGCATGGTAATCAGGGTAGCAAGTCGCGAAAGAACCGGTCGCAGGGCGAGCAGCATAACAGCGTGATACATCAGGGTCCATCTGACAGTGAAGCTGCGAGCTGCATTCCTCACTTGAAGAAGATGACCAGCTTTTCCTCAGGCTGCTTGTGGGGCGTCGGCTTGAGCGCCTTCGGGATGGCCTCGAACTCTGGAACGGGGGACTGGAACGGCTGCGTGGGCACGCGCGCCCGCTTGGGCCGGCGCTCGCTGCTAGCCGCCTGCGCGTCCAGCGCCTCCTTCCGCTTCTGCGGCTGCTGCAGCACACGGGCCCGGTTACTGAGCACACGGACATATACGGCTCCCGGCGCGCGCCAGCAGATGGCGGTGGTCTGCTGGGGGCTACAGAGAGCACGCTGGTGATATGGGGGCTCATGGCCAGCCAGTGTTTGGCACGGGATCTGGTCTGTCCACCACCCGCAAGCATCAGGTGAAACTTACGGTCAAAACGCCATTAAATTCCTGATGCCCCGAACAATGATTGTGCACTGCCAGCCAACCGCTGCATTGCCCTTATTACGTCATAGCGCGACATTTTACCATCACGGGTCATTGCCTGTAACTCCTAAAACCACGGTCGACATCAGTAAGTTCCATAATAATTTGTCAACGACCATCGCACACCAAGCCACAGCCCTAGAACGGCGGCCACATGGCAAACATTTCACCTGCATCCATCCAACTGGTCCGTTCCATGCCAAAGCCCACACTGCCTGCCGCCGGCCGACGCTGGCGCAGCGCCAACGAGTCTCACCCGCGGCGTCTTCTCGGCCAGGGGCACGGGAGCCCGCTTCGGCTTCTTCTCCGGCGAAGACTCCTTCTTCTCATCAGCGGCGGCAGCGGCAGCGGCGGGCTCGGGCTGCACGACAGGCGCCGCCGCTGCGAGCGCAGTGCGGTGCGGTGTCAGTTGGGGCAGACCATGGCGGACAGATGCGCCCAACAAAGGCAGACGGGAGGATAGCGCAACCCGGCGGTGGACGTGGACATAGAACACGTCACTGCCTCTACAGAGCACCAAGGTCGGACATCAGTCATCATTCCGGCGTTCACCACCATTTTTTAATCGTTTATGTGAAACGATCGGGAAATGTGCGTTTCTTCTACACAACAAATGTCCATACTTTTCGACATTTGTGAATGCACCTGTTACCCTCTACAGACCACAGCACGGGAGTGAGCTCAATGTCTGCCAGGCAAATATGGCCGTACATCAAAGACAACAAAGAATCCTATACAGGGACATGACTGACGCCCCACCGAACAGGTACATGACAATGGACACAAAAGAACCCCAGGCGACATACCAGTCTTCTCCGCGAGCTTCTCTGGCTTCACCTCCGGCTTCTCTTGCTTGGGCTCGGACTTGCTGCCGGCCGGGGGTGGCTGCTTGGGAGGTGGCTTCTGCTGAGACTGACGGGCCGGGGCCGGGGCCGGGGCCGGGGCCGGCGCTGGAGCGGCGACGGGAGCTGGAGCCGACGCTGCTGCTCGAGCTTCAGCTGGAGCTGCAGCTGGGGTGTGAGCTGGAGCTGGGACTGGTGCACTGTTTGCGGCGGCCGCCAGCGGAGTGCTCTTGGCGGGTGGCGCATGTGCGTGTGCCGGCGCCGGCGCCGGCTCGGCAGAGGCCGGCACGCTGCGAGCCGGCCGGGGCGCCGGCACCGGTGGCAGGGCGACGGCCGCGGCCGGCGGCTTCTCTGGCACCACCGGCTTCAATGGCGGCACCGTCGGCGGCGGCGGCTTACGCAGCTCGGCCGTCTTGGTCGGGGCTGGGGCCGCAGTTGGGGCTGGGGCAGGAGCTGGGGCTGGGGCCGGGGCTGGGGCCGGGGTCGGGGCCGCGGCCGGGGTCGGGTTCGGGGCCGCGGCCGGAGCTGGAGCCGGAGCCGGAGCTGGAGCTGGAGCCGGAGCCGGAGCTGGGGCGGCCGGGGACGAAGCCGAGGCCGGGGCCGTGGCCGGGGCCGGAGCCGGGGCCGGAGCCGGGGCCGGAGCCGGGGCCGGGGCCGGGGCCGGAGCCGGAGCGGGCGCAGCAGTAGGCGCCGCGCCCGGTGTCGCCTCCGGCAGCGGCGCAGCCGGCGGCCGGGCTGCCGACGCTAGGGACGATATGGCCGTCAGCGGTGGCACCGCCGGCTTCATGTGGTTACTGACGGAGCCGTTGTTGGTGGAGGCGTTGTTCTGGTGGCTAGGCTCTGAGTGTTTGACAGGCGACAGATTGACAGGCTTCGGAGACGTAGAGGCGGGAGCAGCCTGCGTCGGCGGCAGAACCTGCAAGGGGAATGCATGTCACCTACCCAGCAATAAAGTAAATTAGCAGAACAAAATAAGCAGTGGTGGAGTTCATAATAAAAGTAAGACAAAAGCAGACCACACAAAGCAACAATTACCATGTCACAGTGTTAAGGGTTAGTTACTACAGCTGTGATTTCACTTACATTCAAAAAGTACAAGCATATAAAAACAACTTTAACATTCAATTCAAATCAAAAGCATACAAGGTAACTGCAAACACTGAAAAGCACCGGATGGCACTGAGTCCTGACATGAGTGATCCAGGCGTAAAAGAACATTACACTTAAAATGCTACATTGCAAATAATTGTGTAGGTTTAACATCTCATGACACAAATGGTGATGCCATTTATCAAGGGAAAGTAGCTAATGCCATCTCTTTATACCTGGTCACGAAAATCGTCCACTAGGACGCATAAATAACTACTTTGGGCGGTACAGATAGGTCACAGAAGCTGCACCAGCATGCAGCCATGCTGACTGTGGTCATTATTCACAAAACAGTGCATAATGACCACACTTTGGGCATATTCATCAACAATGTGACTTAGTCTAACTTTGTCTATTTTATGAGCTGGGATTCCAGAGTTGCCTGCACTTATACCAGCCAATTTCAAAATACTTCAGTGGGTATCTGCTTTTAGGAGTGTATTACTATTGCGACCTTGCATGCCAACACTACATTGATTAGTTGGACCCCTTGACCTGTGCACATGCCAATGACACCATCCCAACACATTACTACAACTGATTTGAATGGGTTCTGAACAGTGACATGCTCTTCCCACCTGGCCTTTCGCGGCCCTGACGCCCTGCAGACACAGGCACACATGCACAAACATGCACACACATACATTCGGTATGACCTTGCCAGTCAGACTCTGCAAAAGGTGGCCAAAGGGCTGATTTCAAGACTTTAGATGAAATCCAATGTCTGAAATAAGGCAACATTCCAACACTTATTTGACAAACCTGCATATCTGTAGCTGGAACTGCTTTAGGTGGCATCACCATGTTTGAAGGCACAGGCTGTTCCATGCCTGTGAGCACCACCTGCAAACAAACAGCTGCATAAATCCCTCGGCATTGTGATGGCTCCCTCTGGATGTCAAAGCAGCACACCTGTTTCATTTTGTCAACAATTTCTTTCAAAATCTGCAGTATTTGGATCCAACATCCAGATAGACTTCAGTCATCAACCCAATTTACAGGAGACCTATCCCATCTTTCAGTTAGGCAGAACATTTTACAGCCCAACGAAGAAAGAAGTAAAGTTGGTTTCCAACCAGAAACATTAATATGCACACCTTTCATTAGGATGAGTTATTAGTACCCAAACATGGTCATTTAGCAACAACTTGTACATTCGTCTAGGTTTCTATCTGTTCATTTCATTTAATCCACTGGTCAAACTGCATTTTCTGGTGATCACGTACAGCAAAATAAACAAAGGCTATAAGACTATTTCATGGAAAGGCATTTACTGCATTCTACTACAGCAACTTGAAACTGATACAATTGTTAATGTCATATCCATTTTGCTTATACAGCCCCAATTTGTAAATATCACATCAGGTGACCACAAAGGGGCTGTACATGCTGTAAATATTTTTCTCCCCAAGTTACCAGTAAATTAAAAGTAAGATTTATTTTGAAAATCATTGCAACTTTGGTTCACACAGGAAGAAAATGTATGCCCCAACTTGAGACCATCCATATCTTATTCATGCTTGGAGCGGAGGGATTGTAAGGTAAGTTGCACTGCCTTAAGCAGGGGGGGGGGGGAGGGGGGCAGCAATCTGGCATTATGTTAGGCATGGCTGCAAAGCATGCTTAACTTCTTGCTCAAATATTTTAGAATGTCTCAGACAGATACTGTTGGTTTTCTCTCATCACAAGTTATAACCTGATGTTTTACACCTCAAGATCAATAATTGGCCAAACAGCTTGCATCCATAAAGGATGTTATGTTTGATGCAGCACATCCAGGAAACAAAAAAGGACACCCATAAAAATCAATGTATTAACAGGTGGAGGCTGCGCACTCAAAAATGCATGGCACTATTTAAGATGGCCCATTATGGTCAGAATTTTCAGCATCACATATAGATAAAGCCTAATACTTGACATTTTCTTCTGCTGTAAAAACAACAGTTATCAGTGGGGCCCATTTAACTGCAAATGTAAATGCTGGGCCATTTGCGGGATTTAGATAATGAAATGTAGCTAAATAGACAGTGAACATAAATTATACCAATAAATGTATTCTATCAAACACAGTGCTTACAGCCGCTTTCTAAAAAATGACCAACGTAATGAAGCAACACACAGTTGTGAAAACATCATTTGTATTTTTGCAGCTGGGAATGTTCTAACCTGCTTGCCAAATACAGCTCAGCATGGGGTTTCTGGTCAGTAATTGGCTTACTTCATTACAGACAAATAAGACAAAGTGATGGGAAACAAGACAAAGTGATGGCAAGCAAGACAGAATGGTGGGGAAACAAGACAGAGTGGTGGGGAAACAAGACAGAGTGGTGGGGAAACAACACAAAGTGGTGAGAAACAAGACAGAGTGGTGGGAAACAAGACAGAATGGTGGGAGACAAGACAAAGTGATAACAAATTTGCTTAATTAACAAATTTACATTCTTAAACAGGAGCTTGAAATGCAGAATTTCATGTGCCTTCTACCAGAAAATGCCAATTTTTCATGCTGAATGCTTGAAAAGTATACATCTGGAAGGAAAGGTATACCTCCAGCCAGAGCTACTTCAAAAGTACCATGCATGGTCTGATTTTGTTATTTTGCACCCATGGCATCATAAAGACATGTTTGCATCAAAACCATCACCAAATGGATGGCAGAAATTTGGCCTCATATACACAGATCCAAGGAAAACAAATGAGCAATGAATATGATAAAGAGATGCTTCAGCAAAACCAATCATAGAAAACAAGGTGACAATAATCTACTGACAATTTTGTTAATGGTGAAATAAGAGTATAGCCTCAAGCCAACTTTAATAAGGGACTGAAAATACCCTCTACAATCTAAATCTTGCACAGATCTCTTACTGTTTGCATGTTGATATGCTAACCTTCTTGCTTTTTCAAATCATGAACCACTTTTAAGCTACACTGCTGAGTATGGCTATAGTTGAGTAGATCCAAATGTCAACATTGTCTTATGTCTGTATTTCAACTCTCACCATGCACTGTTCATCTTCTTTGTGAACATAAGCCATTGCCCCACTTAATCAATGCTACCTATTTTGTACCTTGATACGCCACACAGCAGATAGCCATTTTGCTATTATGCTTGCCAAGCAGAAAGTCTGATGTGCCTGTTCCAGTATATAATCAAGTGCAAAGTATTTTCAAAAGCAATGAGAGGTATATGCAACTATACCAATATTAACAGCTAAGGAGCACCAGCATACAAAGATGAATCAATCCACATTTGTGCTGTGCAACCTTCTATATTATAAATATTAGCTTTACCTATCCCAGAAGCATGCATGGTTAAACCTGTTGGATCATTTGTATATGATAATATCCAACAGTGGTCCAAAAGCCAAGCAATGTCGTGACCCATCATTCAGCATCCTGCACTATGCATGGAGCATCCCTATTCTGTCAAATATAGAAAATACAAAAAAAAAATATAGAACAAAAATATAGAAAAAACAGATTGCATTATGGCAGACATGAGCCAGGCATTGATACATGGCACAGATTTCCAATTTTGGCAAGAAATTCCCAATTAGGGTATCTCACATAATTTTCAGACAGCCCACAGCTCATATCATTTTCAGACATGGTACCTTGAGGTAGGTATTGAGCTGGAACAGAGATCAGGCAGACCTGGAAAACACGCTGCAGTGTATAGAAAATAAGGGGGTAGCAAACCATAGCTACCAGGCAAACCTTCAACCAGATGTGTCATATTTCTCTAAATTGCATCATAACTGTCTTAATTGCACACATGTTGTCCTGTCTGATTTTGCAGATAGCTGCTCATGTAAACCCTGCAGTCAATAATCAACTAATTAAATTGAATTGTCCATACAAATATATCATGCAAACACAAAGCTTTTGGTTCATGCCAGCTTCTGCTAAAAAGGTACACCAGGCAAAAAACAGATAGACAGTGAGGTCAGTGAGGTGAGGTAGCTCCAAAGCTATAAACTTTCATCATTGACATTGTGAGATCTAGTGTGCTATACCAATGCTTTAAATTTGGTGACAATGAAACAAAAAACATTGGATGGTCAATTCAGTATGATTCTGGCTCTCCTGTAACATAACAGTGGGGATAACTAGCAGACAATTGTATAATTTGATTGCAGGTTGCCTTTAACATCATCCCAGCATTGAGTTATCTGTTTCATACCCAAACAAAGAAGCTGGCTGAAAAAGAATCAAACCTGCCTCAAACATCCTGCCAGAAAGTTTGCAATTTTTTTGCAGACTGGAACCCTCCTGCATATATCATGGAGCAATTAGTGATACCCCAGCGAACCAGCCCAACCTTAGTCATTTTGACCTTCTTTTTGAGTATATGCACAACACAGATTTATTGTTAATCAATTATGATAAAAATAAAATCATCCTATACATATGTTCCTTCAACACCAAAGATAATTGCCATAGCCCCAGTGACACTAGCCTTTATATGTCTACAGACCTGACAATAATGATCAAGAATGGACTGAACAGCAATGATGTGAATAAGGCAAAAGTAATAAAAATTGCTTATGATAAAGTTACTGTGCATCACCTGCCAGACCTTCATAATTTGATAGGCAACAACCACATTCCTGCCTTTATGGAGACTTGTATTCACATGATGTTGCAATGAACTAACACATTGATATGAGCCATTTGCACCCAATTTTTTGCTTTTACCATTTTTAAATAAATCATCAACAGGTTTTACACCCTTCATAACGGTCAACCAAATGTAATCAGCAGCAATGCTACTTAAGTTGTTAACAGTTTCTTAGCCATGTAGTTTGAAACACACTTTCAGTTTACCCTACACAGAGGTAAAAACTACATGCATGGTGAATGCTAGTTAAGAAGTCGGTCATGTACCATCAATCTAGTATGTTGTCGTGCGCCAACACTACTGATTACCTACGTGACTTAACGTCTTGTTTATCAAAACATGGCTGGTCGGCAAAAACCCGGCGCGTCCCCCCCCTCCACACCGCCTCCAAAACCACTAATATACTCAATATATTGCACGTACCTGGGATAAAGTCTTGCACGAATAAATTGTCACTCACCTTATTCAACTGAATCAAAATGGTATTATTTTCTAGCCCCTCTAATTGTATAACAACGGCACAAAATCCGCCGAAAACGCCGAATTTAATCCAAATCGAACATATCTAGAGCTGGGCAAAAATCGAAATCCGACTGTTTGGCTTGTTGCATGTTTCCCTCTCTGTTTCAAAGGCCAAAACAATTTAATAAAACAGTAAACTTAGCATTTGCATCCAAAAACAACATTGTTACCCTACGTGCGTACAAACTACCTCGATGTCTGCTGAAGTAACCTTGAATTCAACAGCTTACAAACTTCGAATTCGGTTTATTACATGCCTACAAGATGGCGTTTAGAACACTAGATCGCTGCCATCAAATCCATGATCTCAATTATGTGCATTATGCGAGTAAAAACAAGCCCCTTGGTCCTTGCATCAGGAAATTATGAGTTGCAAAGTGATGGTTGACATTCAGGGGTGAATCTCTGCCTTTTATTAGGAGCTGGAGCCCATGAACCTTACGCATCTCATTTCCCAAGCACTTTTCTTCATTAATTTCGTCCCCTTAGTCCTGGTAACAGCTTGGACTTGATGTAAGACAGAGAGGACGGTTTGCCTTCCACAGTAACAAAATCCTAGGTCGACTTCTTCGGTGGAGAGATGCCTAAAGCTCTCATTTCGGGTGAGATGACCTGCATTTCTAAGATGCATCCAATTCTGAGGGGCACCACAAACGGCTCCAAAAAATAAAGTCAAGCGGCGTCAAAATATTGGCGGCACGACAATTTGCCCACCGACCACCTTAGGCAGATGGCCAGCCCCAAGTCCTTTGGTTCCGAGGCAATAGTGTAGACGTAAGGGCATAAGGACACGAGGCATAAGGGCACAGGGGGCACGTGCTCCCCCCTCCCCCCTAAGGCTCCGAGGCCTCTTGGAACCCACGATTAATTGCCCGATTCGAGCGCCCGAAAAGCCCGAAAAGCCGGTCGGAGGTCGCATTTAGGGGCCCCGGCCCGCGAGGCCGGGCACGTCGTTGCCACCCAGATGGCCTTGTACGCTGATCAGGGGTCCCCTGAGTCGATAAGGGCATATATGTCGGTCAGACACCACCAGTAATGCACAGCGGGCTGCGTGACGGTATGGGCGTGAGGACCCATTCCTCAGGCAGGAACAAAGCCGGAGCCAGCGGTTTACATTGGCTGGGGTCCCATTGACTGTCAGCGCCCCATAGCGCCTTGCTCTGTGTTGGCAAGGGGCCCCGAGTCGGCAGAGGCAGTGTTCGATAAGGCTTGAAGAGCCTAGAGGGCCCACCAAGCCGGATGATCAAGGGCCCGATTGGAGGGTCAAAGGTTACGAGGAGCTGGTCTGAGTCTTATTCAGCAGCCCCGACCTGCGGAGACGGGCCCTCAAGTAACAGCCAGAGGGCCCTTTGCGCCGACTGAGGACGCCGTCAATCGAAATGGGTCTTTATGCCGGGCAGGCACCATCATTACCGCATGGTCGGCTCCGTTTCGGTATGGGGCTGTGGGCACCCTTACTTCCAATCAGCGGGGACAGTGATTTACACTGGTCGGGGCCCCTGTAGCTGCCAGGAGCCCACAGGGCCTAGTGGAGGGTCCTGTGCTCGCAAGATGCCCCGAGCCAACCAAGGGAAGTGCTCGATGAGGTCCGAAAAGAGGCCTGGGTGGCTCACCGGAACCAACGATGAAAGGCCCGGGTGGATAACATGAGGGCCCGTAGGACTGGCTGTACGTCACATAGAGAATCGGGGCCTGTACGGTCGTGACGTGGAACATCAGTCAGAGGTCCTCTTGCACCGCTTGAGGAACCACTGAGATAATGCAGTTGACTGAGTCGGTCAGAGACCACGCGCACCAAGCAGTCGGCTCCCGTCCGCCCGAGCCCTTGAGACCCATTTCCCAAGCAGGAAAGGGGTCGGGGCCCTCGACTTGCAATGCTCGGGGTCTGATGCAATGAGGTGTTCCCGCGTCAGTCAAAGGTTACAGCGCCTAACAGGGGTCCTGTGGCGGGCAAGTGACCCTGAGTCGGAGCGGTGTTTGAGGGGGCCCAAAGGCCGGCCGAAGGGTCTCTCGAGACCAGAGATCAAAGGCCCGATTAGAAGGCTGAATGGTCCGAAGGGTTGGCTGCAGGTCACATTAAGGACCCCCACCCATAGGGCCATAATCTCAAACGTCAGCTTGAGCTCTGGGGCCCCATTTCCCAAGCAGGGACAAGGCCGGATCCGCAATTTACATTGGTCGGGACTCCTACATCATTCAGGGGCTCACAGTGTCTAACATGGTTCTGTGTCAACAAGGGGCCTCGAAGCGTTCGGGGGAAGGCTTGCTAAAAAGGGACGGGAACGAGACCCCGAATGACAGAGGGCCCTTGTGTTGGTGCGAGCCCTCTGGCAATGAAAGGAACATGAGAAGTTATGCGTGTTTACGTTGAAGTGATAGAACGGTCATGTGCCAGTCAGGGCCCCAGTACAGAACGGTGAGATCTCCAATACAATTCCAGCATGGGCCCGTTAAGCCGAACCGGAGTTTACGTGCCAATAATTAAACCACCCGTGGCGATCAGGGATGCTGTTGCGCCAGTGAGGGTTCTGGTGTCGATCCGGGGCCAACTGCACTGGTCAGAGGGCCTCCCGCATCAGGGAGCGGACTAATATGATATGATACATTCCTGGAAGGGCCTCGGATCGACCAGGGGAACCGGCACGTGTCACCAGAATGGCAGCCGGAGGACACCCGCGGTGGAATGGAACGGCCCTTCAGCTCCTGACCGGAACAATATTGTGCCCGCGGTGTTCTAATCAAGGGACTCCCTTGCCCGGACAGAAACAATTGGTCTCATCAGTGTTGAAAAGAATGTGTCAAAATCAGTTAACAAAAGAAACAAGGCCATCCCATGTTTCACTGAGAATGTTCATTCTTTTGCAGAATCGACTGGTCACACAAATTACATCGAAATGTTTGAGCCCGCGCGCCCGCAATCATGGGAGCAAGGTCAGCCGTGCCCCGGTTGCAGATTCCGTAAATCCGGGTGGGCGTTGGCCACTGCAATTAATGCCAGGGGGCGGGCGCCGTGCGCGTAAGAACGACCATCTTGAAATAGGGTATTTGTACATGTTTAAGAATTAATTCGCACAATTCAAAGATAAGGATTGGTGCATCTTTTGACAACGTTGAAGATATACTCTGCATAGATTAACAGTTACAGCATTACGGAAAATAGAGATTCCATCTTTAGTATTTTAGTTCCACCATCATATTCGAGCACCACTTCGCGGCGTTATGAAAGCCATTCCGTTTTGTCATCACTCTAAAAATCGCACGAGTAAAATAGACGCGCGAATATTCCCTAAATGTAAGATCTTATGTCCGAAAGTTATCGCAAGGTGCTTCTTTCAGATGCGTCATCATTTTCATCCACCTGCTGGCCACGGCTTAGTGTTAACGGCGGCACCCCTACGGAGTCTGCTACGCCTGGCGTCGAGGTTTTGGTTGTTAAGAAGTGCAAGTGCGCATGCTCAAAACTACGTTAGATAAGTTGTTATGTTAATCGATCTTATCTTAATGTTCAATGCTTCCAGACAAACACGGCTTGACCATACTAATACTGATCCATTAATGTTGATCCATTTTGATCCTCAGTCTACATTCGCGGCCGTCCTTGATATCTCTGTACGGTAAAGATACAAATTCTGACAAATTCCTAAATTCTGTCGGTTTAAAAAAATTCCACTGGACCATTGTAAGATGAATGAAGCCAGCGATTTAGTTCACGCACACGTTTTACTCGTAATCTTTTTAGCTTATTGACTATAAACTTCGAGCAGAATTGGTCTAGCGGTAGCGTGTGGCTTTTATTCCAGTTTTAGGAGGGTAACAATGAAAATATAAAAGAGCAACATCCCACATAAGTAAATGGGCCTTATCCGACGATTTTTTAGGGGGGGGGGTGGCTTTTACTATCAGGTAGCCCCCCGTCAACCCTCTGCCCCCCCCCCCTTACCAAGGTTCTGGATGCAACCACGTTCCGAGGGTCTTGAGGGGTCTTTTGGGCCTTTTGGGCCTTGGGGGGGGGGGGGGGGCTGGCAATTGAGGGTACTATCGAAAGGTCTAAAGGGCGAGCCAAGGGCATTTGAAAAGGATCCCAGTCAGAAGTTCCAACCTCAAAAGTCAGTCGGCGGGCCTCTTGCACCGATCGGGGGGGGGGGGGGGGACACGGAGTGAGCCTCTATCTGAGTCCATTGACCGAGACCAACATACCGAAAAGTCGGTTCCGCGCCAGCCTGGGCCCTGGGCCCTGGGACTTCTTTTCCAAGTAAGGACAGGGCAGGGGTCTGAAAATATTCATCCGAAACCTCTCGTATTGGCGGGCCACTGAAATAGTGGAGGTCCCCTGTGCCGATCAGGGGCTGACAGTGCCTTATCCGCATCGACGCCGTGTCGGCAATGGGCCGAGGTACTCGCGAATCGCCCACTTAGTAGGGCTGCAGATCGATGTCTAGAGGTTTTTGTATCACGGCCAGCCGTTCTGGACATTGCAGAGCAACCGCTTGTCTGTCGCGTCGCTGGATGGCGGTCTGGTAAGGTCCTCTAGTCAAAGGTCCTTGAGATGTTCTGACACGTCTTCGTCATAGGACAACAGCGTGCCTGTCAAATGACGTTAGTTCCACTTGGTCCACCAGTCTGGCAGCTTTCGCAGTGAGATCATTCACAGGTGCTCTAGATAGGGCGTGTGGTATGGCGTGTTCCTTATGTTTCCTCCACATCGCCGTGAAAATGAACAGTGCCATCTTCTCCTTGGGCCGTTGAAGTCGAGGATTCTGCACCGCGTCAAGGGTGTAGCAGTTCAGGATCGACACAAAGCGCTTGTTGTCCGTGAGAAGAGGGAAACCAGGTAGGCAGAGAAGATATATGAGGCACTTGGATAGTCCCCGCACCGCAGCCAACAGCTCCCGTTTGATAATGGGGCATGGGCGAAGGAACATGGGGGGGCAGGGGACCATGGCCCCCCACGTTTCAAGGTGGGGGACCAGCAATGTTAAGTCCCCCCCCCACACTACACACACACACACACACTTTTTCAGATTAAGGTTGCATTTGG